GTGTTGGTCTAAGTGCTGCTTGCGGCAGTGCATCCCACCCACGAAGAGCTGCATGGAAGGGCCAGGCGGACTGCAGGCAAGCAGAGGCCGGACGACTCAGGTGTCAGAGGGCGGCCGGCCGGTGTCCTGGTACGCCCTGCTGCCAAGGCCCTCTCCGGCATCAGTAGAGGGCTGTGGGCTCTTGCCATCACCACAGTCCTGAGAGCCTGGTGGAGGCAGAAGACCACTAGCATATGGACAGCCCCAGGAAGGTGACAGTGGCCTTCTGGTGGCCCCACACAGACCAGCTGCCCAGGGCAGGGCTGGGGAGGTGGGACAACTAGGCCAAGAGGGCCACGCCAAGCAGCGCCTCAGGGGTCTGAGTGAGCTGAGAACTGTGGCTGCCAAGGGGCATCCAGGCCTCCAAGCCAGGGACGCCAAGGGCCTGCCTCCACCTTGCAGGTGCTCACCCACTCTCTCACACCACTTACTCCTGGGGATGCGGCCCTGGGCCAGCGTGTCGGCCACAGTGGACAGGAGCACCACGCAGTAGTTGATCTGGAAGGATAGGGGAGCCCATTGCGCACTTGGCAGGGAGAGGGTGTCCGGGCGCCTGCTGCCTGTGACCCACCCTGTGGGAGTGACTATAACCCAAGGGCAGGGAGCATGCATAGAGCTGAGTGGGCACTGGGATGGTGCCTCCTGGGGACTCAGGCTCTGTTAAGAGGATCCTGGAGCGGCTCAGGTACCAGACTCGACACCCCACAAAGGCCTCCCTGCTGCTGGGAGCTGGGACCGCAGAGTGTGGGAAGGTCCCTGGCACCAGGTCGCCACACGCCCTGCATGCGCACCCATCTGGTGGGAAACCCCACCGTCACGTGCACTTACTTGTGACTCCAGGCCCTTGATGCGCTTCTCCTGCTCCCGAAGGCCGCCCAGGCACTTGGCCACCAGGTCCACCCTGCAGCAGAGCAGAAGCCAGCCACAGGCGTGACAGCGGCTGCCCTGGCGGCCCACCTCCCTGCCCACCCAGGACCCTCGGAGTCCCGGCTGGAGGACCTCTGAGCACCAGGTCTGGGGTCTCTAGCCCTTCCACCTCCTACGCTCCCCCTCGCCCCGACTGCAGCTGGCAGTGCCCAAACTCTGGGGAGTGTGAGAAGGGCTGGGCACCCCTCCTTCCCTTGGGGATAGCAAGAATGCACACAGGATGGTCATCCCAAGCAGGCAGGCAAGCACCAAGGGCTCATAGGCCGGGAGTGGGGAGGGCCTGGCAGAGAACTGAGGAGGGCAGGTGGCGGAGTCGCCCAGGAGATCCCGCACTAGGGAGAACGCCATGCTGGGGGTTGGCCGCTGTCCGGACTGCAGGGGCCGGCAGGTCCCAGCAGAGCCCTGGCCTGGGGTCAAGAATCCCTGGCCCTCTCCATGCCTCAATTTCCCCAGTCTGGTCCTCTGTGACTGGCCGGGAGGCCAAGGGGCCACCGAGGGCATCTGGCCACCTACAGTAGCAAAGCGCCTGCCGCATGTGCAGGAGCCTGGCGCCCAGGCGGCGCCCCGCTCGCCGCTCACCGGTGGGCAGTTTTCCGCAGGACCTCCGCGCTGCTGTCCTTCCGCCTCCTCTCCAGGCGGCTCAGGAAGTTCTCCTTCTGCACCACCTCCCACGTGACGACCTTCTGGTCCAGGGGCTCCGGCAGGTCTCTCTCTGGAGGGCAGGGCGGCAGCTTGGTTCGCCAGAGCCAGGTGGGCCTCGGGACAGATCTCGGGGCCCAGGGCCAAGTGGGGTCGGCCCCAGCCTGGCAGGTCACTGCGCAGACAAGCCCAGCGCACGGGGCCGGGGACAGGTGCAGAGACAGCCTCACAGGGCTCCCAGCCTGGTCAGGGGCAGCCTGCCACCTGCCGCTACGCCCAGCGGCACAAGCCTCATGGCCCTAGGCCCCGCCCAACCCCCCCCCCGGCGCCCGACCATCGCCCGGGCACCGCCCCCTGAGCCCCGCCCTCGCCCAGGCACCGCCCCCGACGCTCCGCCCTCGCTCGGGCACCGCCCCCTGAGCCCCGCCCTCACCCAGGCGCCGCCCCCGGCGTTTCGCCCCCTTGTGGAAGACCTTCTTGAGCAGCAAGTTGAGGTGGCTGAGGAGGATGAAGGGGGGCGCCAGCGCGGGGCGCTCGTGGTACTCCACGATCAAGCTGTAGCGCTGCGACTTCCAGAACGTGTCTGCGTTGCCTTGCACCACCTGGAACGTGTAGCTGCGGGGGCGTGAGCCGGCGGCTGGGGGACGGCCCCCACTGCCCCCGACAGGCACTCCTTTGGAGAAGGGAGCCCCCACTGTGTCAGATCTGCTCATCTCTGCCTGTGGGGGTGTCTGAAGTGCGGGTCACTCATTCTAAGCCACCTGGGTCCTGGGCAGCCCTGAGCCGCATGCCCACCTCCTCCGCATCACCTCCTAGGGGTGGTCCTGAGCGCTTCAGCTGCCTGGACCGGGCCCAAGGGCCTGTGCACCCAGGCTGACCTTCCCCTGGGGAGGGCAGGGCAGGCTCAGAATAGTCAAAAGCCCTGGGAGGGGCTGGGGGGGAGGGGTCCCTGAGCAGATAGGGCTACCCAGAGCGACCCTGCAGCCTGGTAGGACAGAGGGAGGGTGGCTCAGGGCTACTGGGCTGAGAGGCACCCCAGGCGGTGGGTCCCCAGGACCCCCACAGCTGGGTGGTGCAGAGGGAAGGGGGCTGGAGGTCGAGGTGGGGAGGGTGCCCAGGGCTGCTGCAGGCTGGGTGGTGCGGAGGGAGGGCGGTTGGAGGTCTAGGCGGGGAGGTGGTCCCCAGGCGGGGAAGGTGCCCAGGGCCACTGCAGCTGGGCTCCTGGAGGTCTAGGCAGGGAGGGTGCCCTGGGCAGTGCAGAGGGGAGGGTGGCTGGAGGTCTAGGCAGGTAGGGTACCCAGGGCAGTGGGGAGGGCAGGCGGCTGGGCCACCGGGCGGACACCTGAACATGGCAATGAGCAGGTTCATGAGCAGCACGTTGGTGACCAGCAGGAAGGTGACCAGCAGCAGGATGACCAGCCAGTTGGCATAGAGGTTGGGGCAGGAGGGTGAGTCCCCCAGCATCAGTGGGTGGGTGGTACAGTTCACTCGGGCTTCTGAAACACAGGGCCAGGGTGGGGGCTGGGGCCCAGCGGGCAGTGACCAGGGCGCCCTCTGAGGGTGAGCCCCAGTGCAGGGGTGCTGGCTGGGGTGACCACCTAGACTCTTCCCCACTGTGGAAAGCCACCTCCTCTTCTGGCCTCTGGCCCAGCCCAAGGCCACCTGGGGGCCAGTGGAGGAGGGCTTGTAAGGATTGGAATGCGCCCGATGGCGCGGGTTTAGGGAGAAGCGTCTTTGCTGCAGGACTTCTTGGGCCTGCGGGCGCTGGCCCCTGCCGCAGGCTCCAAGGTGGGGAGCAGATGCATTTGCTCCCAAAGGCCCTGGGCACAGCTCGAGGCGCTTGTGTGCATGGTGGTGTGCGTGTCGGGAATCCCCTCCCGGTCTCTGTGCTGACGCTGTGACCCAGGTCACCTTGGGGTGGAGTTCTGGGGTCTGTGTCTCTCAGTCTCCCTCTGTGCCGCCTCTGGCCCCTGCCCCTGTGTGTGCTTCCGTGCCTGTTTGCGTGAGTGCGTATGTGTGTGCATGGGAGAGGCCTGTTCCCTGCCTCCTTTCTCCTGAGTGAGTGAGTGGCGGCCGACCACGCATGAGTTGTTGACCGTGTAGGGGTGCATGCTGCAGCCCCGCCCCCTGCCTTCCCCTCTGCGCCCATTAGTCTGCTCCAGGTGTCATCCCTGCACCCCTACAGGAGCCCAGGCAGAGCCTGGAGAGCTGAGCTTGCGAAGCCTGCGTTTGTCTAATAAAGCGTCCCTGCTCCCTCCCTCCCTTCCTCCCTCCCTCCGGACTCCAGGCACCAGAGGCCTGGGCTGTGGTTCCTGGGTGCCCTGGAGTCAGCTCGCACTCACAGCGACCCCGTGTACAACAGAACGGAACACTGCTGGGTCCTCGTCGTCCGCACGGTCGGTGCTGTGCCGGACCCCACTGTCGCAGTCCATCCATCGCATTGAGGGCCTTCCCCTTTCCCACTGCCCCTCTACTCGGCCATGCGTGACGTCCTGCAGGGAATGGCCCCTTCTGATGCCATTACAAAGTATGAAAGATGAAGTCTGGCCGTTCTCGCTTCTCAGGAGCCTCCTGGCTGTATTTCTTCCGAGACAGAGGTGCTCACTCTTCTGGCAGTCCAAATTCAGTCTTCTTCCCTCGCACTGCAATTCAAAGGCGTCAGCTCTTCTTCCATCTCCCTTACTCACTGTCCAGCTTTGACATGCATATAAAGCGACTGAAAAGACCATGGCTTGGGTCAGGAGCACCTTAGTCCTCAAAGTGATATCTTTGCTCTTCAGCACTTCAAAGAGGTCCTTTGCACAGATTTGCCCAGTGCAGTATGTCATTTGATTTATTGACTGGTGCTTCCCTGGGCGTTGATTGTGGATCCAAGTAAAACAAAATCTTCGACAAATTCAATCTTTTCTCCATTTATCATGATGTTGCTTATTGGCCAAGTTTTGAGGATTTTTGTTTTATGTTGAAGGGTAATCCATACTGAAGACTGTAGTCTTTGATTTTCATCAGTAAGTGCTGTGAGTCATCTTCACTTTCAGTAAGCACGGTTGTATCATCTGCTATCACAAGTTGTTGAGTCTTCCTCCAATCCTGATGTGGTGTTCTTCTTATAATCCAGCTTCTCGGATTGTTTGCTCAGCATACAGATTGAATATGTATGGTGAAAGGATACAACCCTGACACACACCCCTCCTGATTTGTATCTCCTTGTTCTGTTCAAACAACTGCCTCTTAGTCCCTATACAGGTTCTGCACAAGAACAATTAAGTGTTCTGGAATTCCCATTCTTCCCAATGCTATCCATAATTTGTTATGATCCACACAGTCGAATGCTTCTCCATGGTCAATAAAACACAGGTAGACATCTTTCTCGTATTCTTTGTTGTCAGCCAAGATCCATCTGACACCAGCAGTATCCCTCATTCTGTGTCCTCTTCTGAATGCAGCTTGGATTTTTGGCAGTTCCCTGTCAATATACTGCTGCAACTGTTTTTGCTTATCTTCAGCAAAATTTTACTTGCATGTGATATTAATGATACTGTTCGATGATTTCCTCATTCTGTTGATCATCTTTGGAATGGGCAATATATGGATCTCTTCCAGTCAGTTGGTCAGGTAGCTGTCTTCCAAATTTCTTGGCACAGACGAGTGAGTGCCTCCAGCATTGCATCTGTTTGTGGAAACATCTCAGTGGGTGTTCCGTCAATTCCTGGAGCCTGGTTTTTCACCAATTCCTTCAGTGCAGCTTTGACTTCTTCCTTTAGTACCATTGATTCTTGATCATATGCCACCTCCTGAGATGGCTGAACATCGACCAGTTCTTTTTGGCGCAGTGACTCTGGGGGTTCCTTTTGTCTTCTGATGCTCCCTGTGTTCTTCAATACTTTGACCACAGAATCCGACAATATCGCAACTGGAGTCCTGGGCTGGGGGATGGGAATAGGGCTGTCTCTGGGGCTCAGACCAGGAAAATGAGGCCCTCTTCACAGCACCCCAGCCCTGAGGCTTTGTGGCCACTTGGGGAGCAGGCTGTGGGAGAACTGCTGAGCCTGAGAGCCATGCTCCTGGGCCTCAGTTTCCCTCCCGGGCCAGGTATGTTATGAATTACTCTTCACTCAGCAGCTGGATTGGGGGGAAACAGAGGGGTTAAAATGGGGGGGAGGGGTTGAAGTCCAATTGTGGCCTCTGAGCAGATAAGGAAACTGAGGTCAGAGAGGACTCACTGTGAATGTGACTGAGACCTGGTCCTTTCCGGCCCTCAGCTGCTGAGACCATGTGGTGCCTCAGAAACCTTCTGAGAGGTGCAGGGCCACTGGGGCCCTGTGGGAAGCCCACACGGCCGCTGCTGTCCCAGGACAGCACTGTGACTCCTGGTGGCAGGGACCGTGACTAGGCCTGGCCCCCGAACCACAGGGAAGCGTGTGCTGGGCACTGGGCAGAATGCCTGCCCTGTGCTGGCCCAGCTGCAGGAGTCCTTAGTGTAAGGCGGGGATTGGGGAGGGGGCACCCGGGGGTGAGCTGATGACCCGAAAGTGTTTCTGCTGAGCAAACATGGAGGCCCTCAGGGCTGCAGTGGAGGAAATGGGGCACAGACACCACTGGGGTGGGTTTTGTGACAGGGCAGCTCCCTCCAGGCCTATGTCCTTGACACATTTATCGAGGGCTTGGGTGCAGAGGACCAGGGGTGCTGACCCTTCCTCATTAGCTGTCCTCCACGGTCTACAATGGCAACAGCTCCTAATGCTGCCTTGTGACTGCTGTGGCCCCGCCCCTGCCCCAGCCCCCTCCCCACCTAGGTCCCAGGCCTGCAGCACCCCCAGGAGTGCTGGGGGACCAGCTCTCACACAGGCCCTGGCCGCTGGACACCTTTCCTGGGGTACTAGCCCCTGTCCAGCAATGTGGCCAACAGTGTTTCCCTGAGATTCACAAGGTTTTCACTGGCTGATTTTTTCAGAAGTGGATGGCCCCTCCTTCTTCTGAGTCTGTCTTAGTCTGGAAGCTCTGCTGAAACCTGTCCACCATGGGTGACCCTGCTGGCATCTGAAACACCGGTGGCATAGCCTCCAGCCTCCCAGCAACATGCAAGTCACCACAGGATGCCACACTGATAGACAAGTGGTGCTTATACTACCTCTATTCAAATTGAGGATAATATCCACACACCTACGAGGAAGACCGGGAGCTCTGGTAGCATAGTGGCTAAGATACTTGCCTGCTAACCAGACGGCTGGTGGTTCAAACCCACCAGCCACTCCTCGGAAGGAAGGTTGGGCAATCCTACTTCCGTAGTGATACTGCCTCGGAAACCCAAGGAGGGGTCGCTATGAGTTGGGTTTGACTCGACGGCACATAACAACAACAACAACAACGAGGAAGACCAGCCAGTACTACTGTTATTCAAGTTTACGCACCAACCGCTAAAGCCGAAGGTGAAGAATTTAAAGATTTTTTAACAGCTTCTGCAGTCAAATTGACCAAATGTGCAATCAAGATATATTGATAATTATTGGTGATTGGGATGCAAAAGTTGGAAACAAAGAATCATCAGTAGTTGGAAAGTATGGCCTTGGTGATAGACATGACACTGGAAATCTCTTGATAGAATTTTGCAAGGTCAATGACTTATTCCATGCAAATCCCTTTTTTCAACAACACAAATGGTGGCTATACACATGGACTTCACCAGATGGAGTACACAGGAATCAGAGTGACTACATCTGTGGAAAGAGGCGATGGAGAAGCTCAACATCTTCAGCCAAAACAAGACCAGGAGCTGCCTATGGAACACACCATCAACTGACTCATATGCAATTTCAAGTTAAAGCTGAAGACAATTAAAACAAGTCCACAAATGCCAAAATATGACCATGATTATATCCCACCTGTATTTAGAGACAATCTCAAGAATAGATTTGATGTATTGAACAACAGTGACTGAAAACCAGAGGAATTGTGGGATGACATCAAGAACATCATCCATGAAGAAAGCAAAAGGTCATTAAAAAGACAGAAAAGGAAGAAAAGACCAAAATGGATGTCAGAAGAGACTCTGAAACTTGCCCTTGAATGAAGAGTAGCTAAGCAAATGGAAGAAATGACAAGATAAAAGAGCTGAACAGAAGATTTCAAAGAGTAGCTCAAGAAAACAAAGCCAATTACTATAATGAAGGGTGCAAAGACCTGGAGTTAGAAAAGCAAAAGAGAAGAACACACTCGGCATTTCTCAAACTGAAAGAATTGAACAAATAAGTCAAGCTTCAAGTTGCAATATTGAAGGATTCTAAGGGCAAAATATTGAATGATGCAGGAAACATCAAAAGAAGATGGAAGGAATACACAGAGTCACTGTACCAAAAAGAACTGATCGATGTTCATCTATTTCAGGAGGTGGCATATGATCAAGAACCAATGGTACTGAAGGAAGAAGTCGAAGCTGCACTGAAGGAATAGGCAAAAAAACAGGCTCCAGGAATTGACTCAACAAACAGATGCCACACTGGAGGCACTCACTCGGTTATGCCAAGAGATTTAGAAGACAGCTACCTGGCCAACTGACTGGAAAAGATCCATATTTGTACCCATTCCAAAGAAAGGTGATCCCTCAGAATGTGGAAATTACTGAACAATATCATTAATATCACACACACATAAAATTTTGCTGAAGATAGTTCAAAAACAGTTGCAGCAGTATGTTGACAGAGAGCTTCCAGAAATGCAAGCTGGGTTCAGAAGAGAACGTGGAACAAGGGATATCATTGCTGATGTCAGGTGGATCTTGGCTGAAAGCAAAGGATACCTGTGTTTTATTGACTATACAAAGGCACTTGACCATGTGGACCATAACAAATTATGGATAATGTTGAAAAGAATGGGAATTCTAGAACACTTAATTGTACTCATGAGGAACCTGTACATAGACCAAGAAGCAATTGTTTGAACAGAACAAGGGGATACTGCATGGTTTGAAATAAGTAAGGGTGTGTGTCAGGGTTGTATCCTTTCACCACACTTACTCAATCTGTATGCTGAGCAAATAATCTGAGAAGCTGGACTATATGAAGAAGAACACAGCATCAAGATTGGAGGAAGACTCATTAACAACCTGTGATATGCAAATGATAACACAACCTTGCTTGCTGAAAATGAAGGTGACTTGAAGCACTTACAGATGAAGATCAAAGACTATAGTCTCCAGTATAGATTACACCGCAACAAAAATCCTCAAAATTTAGCCAAAAAGCAGCGTCATGATAAATTGAGAAAAGACTGAAGTTGTCAGGGATTTAATTTTACTTGGATCCACAATCAACACCCATGGAAGCAGCAGTCAAGAAATTAAGATGATGTATTGCAGTGAGAAAATCTGCAAAAGACCTCTTTCAAGTGCTGAAGAGCAAAGATGTGTCTTTGAAGACTAAGGTGCACCTAACCCAAGCCATGGTATTTCCAGTCACCTCATATGCATATGAAAGCCGGACCATGCATAAGGAAGACCGAAGAGTTGATGCTTTTGAGCTGTGGTGCTGGCGAAGAATGCTGACAGTACCACAGACTGCCAAATGAACTAACAAATCTTTCCAGGAAGAAGTGCAGCTGGAATGCTCCTTGGAAGCAAGAGTGGCCAGATTTCACCTGACCTACTCTGGTCATGTTGTCAGAAGGGACCATTCCCTGGAGAAGGACTTGCTTGGTAAAGTGGAGGGTCAGCGAAAAAGGGGAAGGCCCTCAACGAGATGGACTGACACAGCGGCTGGCACCATGGACTCCAGTTAGCAAGGATTGTGAGGCTGGCGCAGGGCAGGAGGGGTTCGTTCTGTTGTTCGTGGGGTCACTATGAGTCAGCGCTGCCTCCAGGGCACCTAACAACGGCCCTTGCTCCTCCTCCCTACCCCAGCCACCCGCAGGGTCCTGCACAGGTGCCCATCTCTCACGAGCCCCCACACCATACCTTCCGGTCCTGGGAAAGTTCTCCAAGCCTCCACACTGCTTGAGCCAAAAATATCCACCCCACACCCTGACTGACCATGGGACACGTTGAGGTGATCCCTCAGCAGAAGCCAGGGTGCCACTGGGGCTAGCTAAGGGGTGTTTCCTAGCAGGCTAGTGCAGGCCTCTGCCTGGCCCTGGCCCCTCCCGCCCAGTGCCGGCAGGTGCCCTTGGCCCTGACCCCTCCTACGGCCCTCCGCCCCGCCCTCTGGCCCCGCCCCCGGCCGCGCCCGCACCATCGATCTCGTCCAGTGGGATCTGCCCGAAGATCTGCAGGTAGGGCCGGTAGAGCACGCGGCGGAAGATCCACTCGGGGCGGCCGTCATGGGGGTGCAGCAGGGCGTGCGTGGTCACGCCATAGGCCACGAGCCACACACTCAGAAAGAAGAGGAAGAAGAAGACGTCCTTCATCTGGGGAGGAGGAGGCGTGTTAGTGGATGGAGGGGGGGTGG